CGTACGTGTGGTTATAATATTAATCAACACATTTCATCGCTTAAAATAATTGTTACGAACTGTGACGTATATTTGTGTTGCTATTTAGAATAAATCTTACGTGATGAAATTGAAAATTGAACTTGAATATGGTTCTATATGAATTTCATGATTTGTATTTCTATCTTTGTATAAATTGAATTGATGAATGAATGCAAAAAGGGTGTTCTCGGGTTTACCTGAAAATTCTTTTATCTGTCGTCCATATTATTCGACATCATATACACAGATAGTTCTTGATCTGTACTACAGTTTTTGTTCTAAGATCGAGTTCGAATGATGCCAAGCGTCTTATTTTCGTTACAGAAGTGACCAATAAAAAAGAATAAAAATGACCACAAATATGGATTAAAAAACTATGCGAAATGATAAGATCTCATTTGACGGATTGAGTGATTAATTTTTTTTTCGGTTTGAAAAACTTTTTCTGCTAAAACAAAGTTTTTTCTGAGCACTACTATCAAATTCCATCTGGTGATCGAATTAAGCCGAAAAACTACATGGAGTAGAATTATAAGGCCAGCAACAGCACGAGAAAAAGAGTCAGCTTCGTGGTTTTGTATTCGCGATTACTGATTAAAACCGGATTCATTTTTAACAAGAAATCAACATAAATGTATAGTGCCGATGACTCTATCGGAGAGAAACAAAAATAACGACCTAAAACAGACGTCGTCAAACAAAGATATCGATGGTTTTCTAAAAATCACTGCAGGTCGTGCTCGAATTAGCATCGGGCGCTTCAAATCAAATAATTTTTCCACTTACGACAATCGCCACAAATACGTAGATTTTGAACAATTTGAATACGGGTTGGTATTGGCCGTTGAAGTAAATTGAAAACGATTGCCAGTCGTTCACTATGTCCACATAATACTGACTCAACTGTTTCACAGTCATTTAACTCTCGAGTTATCCATGATTCATCTGGTTTATAACCATGCTTGATTAGTCGATCTATTAAGCGAGTTGATTCTTTAAAAATTTGAGACGAATATGGATTTGATTTTTCATGAGCTCGAAATCTCTGTTCCAAAAAGCAAACAATAAGATTATGTTCAAATTGTTTCAACTTGCATAAACTTTTCCATTAACAACCGTCCATGAACAACCAGCAACCTTTTTCTCACTTGATTGATTTACTTTCACTCGAACATTGGATGACGTCAATTTATTTCCGCTTAAACTATATGCATTAGCAAGAAGAATTCGAGCCGATGTGAGATAACTTTCATTATTTGGAAAATTAGATTCAATACAATGAAAAACTTTTTCTGACAATGAAACATTCTTTGCATTTCGAGCAGATGAAAGTATTGACACTTAATTTATTCGAAGATATAAAAACAAAAGAAAACAAATCAACTTACTGTACATTGGAATGGAAGGATTATGAGATTGTTCATATTCATCAATTAATTCCAGTGCTTGATCAAAAAGAGAAACCCTACTAATTGTATCAACCTACATAAAAGAAACTAAGTTAAATTTGAAATAAAATGTATTGAAAACTATTGACCATTGTTGTATAAATTTGTTCTGTTCTCTGATTCAATGGAATTTTTTCGAAGATCTCCCAAGCTTGACCAATAAGAGCCGAATGAGAGCAAGCATTTAATGCACATATATAAATAACATTATCTAGCATATTCGATGGAATTCTATTAAATGATTCAATTGCTTCCAAACCCATTCCATTCAAACCATACGCATTTACTGAAATTAGAAATCGATTTCAATGAATTATCTTTTATTTTAAAATAATAATTAATTACTCATAGCTCCAAAAGCAACTCTGTCTGGATGTTCAATCATGTCAAATATTTCTTTACTTTTATCTGGTGAACCAACTTTACCCTATTGAAATATAAAAATCTTAATTGATTGATGTTAAAAGAAATTTTACCGATATATCAATCAATGCAACTTGAATCCATGAATTGCTTAAGAAATGCTTTGGCATTCCACAAAGAAATGATTGACCTAGTGAAAGATCACCAATTTTTGACAATGCATCAATGAGTAGCACATAACAAATTTCATCTGGAATTAAACTTTCCTGTTTCATTCTTTGAAATAATTCCAACGTTTTCTCCGGTTGATCTTTAATGTTATAAAGTTTCATCATTGATCCATAACAAATAATAGTTCGATCAATTCGATTAAATAAACATTCAGCACTTTTAAGATCACCACATTTAATAAACATATTTAAAGCCATATTTAATACATCTTTTGATTCATTTGAATCAATAGCTAATTGATCAAATACGTTTTTACCCACAGTCAATGCATTTTCAGTTTGTAATTGAGCACAAGCATTAAAAAATATACGTAAAATAGCTTTGGACGGTTTTTTTATTTGAAAGAAAAGATCAATAGCTCGTTGTTCTTGTTTGTTTAAAATAAAACCTTGAAGGACAAAGATAAAATACGATAGCATAAATCTTCTTACCATTCATCATTGTACTAAAAGTAAATAAATTTTTGTTCTCTATTGCATTAAATAATTCTTCGGCTTTGGAAATATCACCACACTTAATAAACATTTGTAAAGCAGCGGTTATTATCACGATATTCTTATGAAACTCTTTAGGCATTCTGTCAAGAATTAATTGTCCAAATTCTAACGAACGTTGATCACCGAGGTCCGAACAAATTTTAAATAAAATACTGAAAGTATATTCATCTGTTTTAATATCGATTTCTTTAAAAAGATTCAATGCTTCTTCATGACGACTATTATCGGCAAGACCTGAGATTAAATTAGATAAGCAAAGTTTTTAATTTAAACAAGAAAAACAATATTTAACCTTTGAGAATATTATTAAGCATGTTTGTTGTTTTATTATTACTATCGATAAAGATTTGTTTACTTTTTTCATAGTCACCACATTTCACTAGCATAGAATATGTATATATCACAATGAAATTATTCATTTGAATAAACTTACTATATAGACGAATTAGATTCGCTTGAATAAATGGATTTTTCTTCCTTGTAGAAGATAGATTTTCGTGAATATATTTGCCACGTTTTATATCATCAAGGTCAATACATGATTTTAAAGCTTGATTCACAGCTAAACTAGTATTTTGGTTTTTATCTTTCTTAACTTGATCTTCATATAGGTCAATAGCTTTTTTAAATTGACCATTATCACTGAGTTTTTTCATCTGAGAACTTAAATCGAGGAAAGTAGATAGGAAACGGCAAGAAGATCGTATGAAGATAAACATCTAAAGCAATAAATCATATTAAACATGAACAAATCTTCATTGATAGATTGACTTTCTCTTTTCAATGCATTTTTCATCGATTATTTACCAATCATAATAGCGTCGTAAATAATATCTACATCGATGAGTCACATGCCAGTATCTCTCTCCAATCCCCAGGAGAATGAATCCTAGCTTAGGATCCGATGAGTTCCGATCGGTTCCAATTGGAATCCGACGGAGCTCTTCGGAAGGCGCAAGGAAACTATCGGATTCCTGGTTCCGGAATCGATATCGGATCCTAATATCGGAAACTAATAAAACCCGACAGTAACCGTCAATCGGAACCGGAATGCTTTGGATTTCATTGGTTCCGACAATCGGATATCATTGGAAATACGACTGTCGGATCCGACATTGATTCCTCAACCAGGAATCCAACGGGATTTCGTCGGATGGTAGGACCCCATAGAATCCGATGGGATTCGGTATCGGATTGATTCGCCTGGGCCAGGCTCAAAAGAGATTCATTTTTAATTAAATAGTTAAAATGATGATTTTCTTTTCAATATTTATTATTTCTATACATTAGAACTAATATTTTTAGCAGTCACATAAAATACCTACTGAACAATAGCGGCATTTCTATTTCATTGCTTATCGTCTCGTCTTCACAGAAATTAATCATCAGACATATTTTCAAGCATCTACACAACAAAGCATAATTAAATCATTCAAGTATTAAAAACTGTGTTGGATTTTGCAAATAATATTTTGCAGTCTCAATCAATTGAAGTTTAGGCATATCTTTAGTCCAAGTGCCCTTTCAACATTTGATTTATATATATATATGTTATGTTCAATCTTATTAATATCTCCCTCTTGACAATATATGCAACATTCGTTTTCTCCGTGAGCATATATAAGCGGCTCTTTTGATAAACGAGATTCGACTTGATTCTTATATATTTCTCAGCCCTATCGAAAGATCAAAATTATTTTCAATAGAAATAATAGATATCAGACAAAAATCCGAACCGAAGAGAATTAAATCGTTTCTCTACATTCATTTCATAATGATTTTTAACTTGATTATATCGAGACACCGTTGTATGAGAGTTTTATTGACTTGCATTAATGATGATCGCTAAGCAAGAATACCAATTATTTGTTTCATTTGATGTTATTTTTTTGTTTTCGTCGATCGTGCATAGTTTTAGTAGTTTGTTGAACTTTGACGAATCTTCATTATCTGCTTTGATTTTGCATAAAATCTTCCAATATATCCCATGTTGCGAATACCGGATCAATTTGTGCGGTAAACCGCGGTATTTATCCGTTCTGCGGTAATGGGAGCCGGTAACCGGACCGGTAAAACCGCGGTAAACCGGCGTTTTTTTGCGCATGTTTATCACATGTAAAAGTAAAAAGAAAGGATCTTTAAAATAGTTTAATTGATGATTTGGAAGTCTTTTTCTGTCAAAAATTATAGATGAACCGGTTAACCGCTTTTTTTAGCGGTAACCACGGTATTAATCGAAACCGGCGGTTTACCGCGGTAAATGCCAGTTCATTTTTTGTGGTAAACCGCGGTATTTATACGTTCTGCGGTAATGAGAGCCGGTAAAACCGCAGTTAACCGCCGATTTTCATGCGGTTTTTATTACATGGGATTATCTTCTTTAGTTATAGTATCCTCAAATTTTACGATGCACGGTCCATTATTGACAAATAATATTCGTTTTCAAATGGTGTGTGGATCAAGTAATCAGCAGTTAATCAGGTTTACCAGATGCCAGACTTGGAAATCCGGAATTCAAATCTCAAAATGAGGAACATTTCTAAATCCGAAAAATTCAGAAAAGGTGGTAATATTGCAGTGAACAGCTGTCTTTCGAAAAATGGTTAACTTTTCAGTGGTGGATCCACCAGTTAGGATACCCGGCCATCGCCACCCCCCTGAGGATAGAATACCGGCGAAATTTTTTGAAATGTTTCTATGATTCAACGCATGATATAATAGATATTGCAATATGATATTTAATCAAACGATGTCAGCTTTGATTGTGAAAATAAGGTACAGAATATGTGATAAAATAAAGCTCCCTGAGCGAATGACTAATAGCAAGAAGTAGACTAACAGGATTAATCATAAATATCATCCATTGACAATTGATCAAGTCCACTTGAATATTGAAACGTAACCAGCAAAACTTATGTAAACAAAAAGCCTTGACAAAATCTCAATTTTACTAGGATAGCCTAATTGTGTAGCCAGGGGTATTGAAAACTTTACCGGAAATATCTGATTTTTTCAATATAATTTGGCCGAAATATCTAAAGCATCTAGTAATGACATGTAAATATTTGTGAATCCCTAATCCACTCTCCCCCGACGACTCCCCCGTGAGATGCTAGTTAGTCAGTAAGCTCGTTACAAAATAATGGGTTCGAATGATTTAGTGAATATGCTCTTCATAAGTTATAATAAGCGATTGAATAGAGTCTATAGTTGTATGTTCAATACTCAATGTAAAACAACAAATTAAGATCTTTTCTTATATTTTGATGCAACAAGAACAAGTAAACTACATACATACAATAATTAATCAAACTTTTTGAGCGCCAACGCGAAACGAGCTTTTTATTGAAATAGAACACGAAGAACTAACGTATCAAGAAAGACAACGAAAGGCGAACTAGAAATCAGAAACCAAACAATCGACAACACAAGTAACGACACACTGTGCCGTTACCCCCCGGTCGAAGAAAACGATCAGTAAACGATTGTATACGATACAAATACGGCCCGTTTTACGTGCCGTATTTTCCCCGTATAACAGGGGCAGTAATACGGCCGTATGTTCTATAGAATACGATAATGTTACGCCTGCTTTACGAGGTTTTACAGCTGATATACAGTGTCCGTGTACGGCCGTAACACTGCCCCTGTTAAAACGCCTTAATACGGCCGTTTTACGGCGGAATACGATGCAAAAACGACCGTTCACGGTGGTCCGTTTTGATCGACCTGGTTTGAAGTATTGGAACTTATAGTTCACTACACTACCCCACGAAGGGTAACTCAGCTGAACATACCGAAGTGATCAGATTACCTGTAAAAATGCGGTATTCTGAAACCGCGGTAATCATCGACTTTTCTGCGTTTTTTTAAAACCACGTCTGGTCGTGTCTTGGGGGAATTCGCGTACTAACGCGTTTAGAAAAAAACGCGGGAGTCTGACCGTTTATTCGGTTTTTAAAAAACGCGTCGTACCGCGTTTTAAAAAGCCGCGATTTTCAGCGGTCTTTTGAGAGACGCCTAAAAGGTCTGACTCCCGCGTTTTCCAAATACCGCGGGTAACCGCGTTTTTTTCGTGGGCAGCCTGCTAAAGTCATCGCAATTGAATATCTTATTAATATGCACGAGTTTTTTAAATAATATTTGATAACTTGTCTATTTTATTTATCGGTATTCACATGAAACCTAATAGATGATCTGTATGAAAACTTCATCTTGATTAACTATTTAACTAGTAATTTACTGTTCTTTGAATATTGGAATTACTTAAGGAGAGTTCTCGGGTTGTCTTTCTCGCACTGAAAAATAGTAAGTATGACGTCAATGTGAGTTAAAAATAGTTTCAGCATGTAGCTTATATATTTTTCTTCTTCTATCTTTTTATAATAGACATAACGTATCATTGTTACTTTCAACTTCCCTTCTAAAGATACAACATGTAGTGATATTTATTGAGAAAAAAAACAAAAGACTAAATCATTTCTTTCTTAATGCTGTATTGTTGTGCTAGTTGTTCCATCATATCTTTGTCGATCTTGATTCCATTATCGGTTAATTCAAACAGTTTTTTTCAGGAAATCATTAACTTGTTGTTGTTTTTGCTCTTCATCCTAAGAAAAAGAAAAAATTAAAAATAGAATTACACCCTAAAACAGTTAAAGTTCAGAAATAAAGCAGAGCGTGCTTGCATTTAGTAAATTTTCAAATATCGAGAAAAGGCAATGTTAAAAAAGTCAGAAAAAGATCTCCTAATTTCTCACGATGTCTGACAACCCTAATACTTACGTTTAATTTTGCTACCATTTTTTAAATATAATCACTTAGAGTAATTAGCGGCTATACGATATGTATGCATATATACACACTGCTCATGCTCAGCCTAACACGAATGGCGGAAGAATCGATGTCAATTTTTTTCTTTTTTCTCTCACTTTCTGCCTACAATATAAATTTCGGTTATGGTCAAATTAAAAACGGAGGGAAGGAAAATGTTCGATGTGCTTTTTCTTTAAATTTTATATTATAACAAAAGCTGGAAAACTATCATATTGACTAATGAGAAACAAATGGATACGCTGACAGTGGGTAACAGAGAAGCGATCGTTTCTTTTTTTTGGAAAAGAAAGAAAATTTTTCAAAGGGAATCGATCGTTGGTAGACATACGAGACCAAAGTTATTATATCCAGATCTGGATAAAATTTATTTTGGTTTCAGCCTAGCATATCGTTGATTCTAGCCAAGTGAAAACTCAGAATAAACTGACAAATGTATTAGATTATCAAAACCGATCACATCGGTGGTGATGAGTGAGATTGATACTCTGCTGTTAAGGTGTTTACAGTTAATAAACTTTATATTACTTGAAATCGTATTGACAACATTTTGAATCGAACTTACGGGAATAGTATTATCGAAATCTTTCTTTGTTCGATCTTCTTCTAATAAGTATTTTACAACAGTCATAAAATCATTGAGAAGAATTTGACCAGCGCCTAAACAAAATTTGTGAACGTGTACATTAGACAAGACTGAAGATTTGTAAGAAAAGCCGTCATATCTAAATTAATAACACTATCAGATTGTAAATGAACTAAATGGAGTAAAAAACAGAAAGAAACAGAGAATAGGATAAGGGTGTATATGCTAAATATGGGCTTCTTCGTTTTAAATAGATTAGTCTATAATAGCTTTTGATATTTATTTCAAAAGATCTTTCTATCGTATTCTTAAAGTAAAAACAGTAACATAATTTAGATTTTGCTCATATAATCTATAAAGATTTTTACATAGAAACACAAATAAGTTTGATTTACTTTTGAATCTGTTTTTGAAATTACAAATAAACTGTTAATCACAGAAAAATTTGTTTGCTTTAAATCTAAAATCTCAAAAGACTGTCCTTCAACAACAGAGGCGCAATGTTCACTGGCACTCGATAGACGAGCGAAATTTTTGCGCTAGCCATCAAATGAGCATCAGAAACTAAAAGAACGAAAAAATTGGAATAATTATCATTACTGTGAGGTAACAGTAATTGATTGAACACCGGAGACGCTGAATATTTGACTTGATCATTTATTGTTGAATCAGAAACTTCTGGGTGATCCTAACTTAGAAATGAAGATTCTTGCTCTAATATTTTTGATAAATTAAAATACCTTCGTGCAGAAATAGTGGATGTTCATTTACTGTTTGTATCCATATTGCATGAATTTCCAATGGTCTTAAAGCACATCTCATTTGTACAAGAATAATAATAATGCGTTCGAATTATATTGAAATATTTGCATGAAAACAATGATTTTCTTTCGGTATGTAGAAGATAGTAAAAGAAACTCAATACTTTCATTCAATGATGATACTACACGTTTTACATCTGAAATCATATTACAGCCGACTGTTATTATGTGACAGTTCCATTGTGTTGTGCAAATTAAATATAGAAGTATTTTTAAGAGCAAATCGGCCACGAACTTACTGGATTCTGTTTCGCGAGTATCGCCAACCTACTCATTCGCGAACAAGTGTTGATATTATCTTTCAGCTTCGCAAACTATTTTTGCATTTTGCCATTCCATAAAAAATGTAATGGCTTCTTTTTTACAATTTGATTATCTGGCGCGGCACATACACCGTAGTCATGTTCATCAGTTTATTTTTTAAAGTATCAGATATGTTTTATGCAGTGACTTTTTTCCCGTGAAGATTGTAAACTATACAAATCAGTGACGAAGAAGCCTGTTGGTGTTTCTTTTGTTGATATAATTAATCATTGCATTTTCGAAGCCATACCTTAAAATCTACGATAACAAATGAAATTCATAGAAACATAAACATGCAAAGTATTGAATTAATTATTGAACTTTTGGATTTGAGCGATATGCTGTTGACATAGCCGATCCGTGAAAATAAAATATTCTTCATGAACTGTCGCTAGTCTACATAGAATATTAAAGTTTAGTCGTGTAAGATAGCGCTAGGATTTGATTGGTTTTCCGAAGTGTTCTGTTTTTATATGGAAAGAACGAAACAATTCTCTCAATGATGTTTATTTATCCTTATTGGTCTCAAGCATTCCTTTCTTCCATTTGATTAATTTTCTTCGACCCTGAGACTTCCAATAGTAATTTTCTATTATATAATATATTTTTCCTAGTTGAACTGTTCATTTTATAATAACACATATACATATTTTTCGATAGGTTTCTCTCAGTAAGTCAAATCAATACAGAAAATTATTTTCTTTATTTATATTCATTACTATACTATTATATGTTCACAGTAAGATTGGCGTTGTTACAAGAGATTTCTGCTGCCACAGTCTAGATGTAGAATTGTAGTAATGAAATGTTCTGTTTTGTGTTGAAGGTCAACAGATTTATCATGTTTTCTAAAGATTCAATAATTGAAATGCCATGAGGCATGATTCAACTGAAGTATATTTTCGTATTGCTTTTCTTCTGTTCTATGAAAACATCACTTATATAAATAGAATCATGATTGTACATTAACAAATGGAAACAATCAAGAAAAAAGACCACTATTGTTTGATGTATAGAATAGACCCTCGTCGTAGTTGTCCTAGACATGACTGTGTCATTCGTATACGATTGACTGTGTTGTATTGACGCATTTTTGTATTTGTTTGTGTTTATTTATATATCAAATTGATTTAATTATTCTCGTTCTTTACATGTTCTAGATGCAAAAACATCGATGTATTATACTGTTTGCTTTTCATCTGGCATCCACTTAACCACCTATTTACATTCATTCATTGACCTTCTGTGTTCCGGTGGTGTGCGTGTCTTTTTCTTGTTTACCTTCCGTTTTTATGTCCCATGCGACGACACCTACCAAAGGTCCTTCGACCGTCGATTGTGAAGTCTTAACAGGTAAGAATCAAATTACTTGCTTCTTTTTCTCTTTCTGCTGTTTCATAATTATCTAAACAAAAGTATTATGGTCAAGGGTAGAAAGAGTAATATGACTTTCTTAATTAATCTAAGCTTTATATTTCTTATAGCGCAACCGAAATCGATTTCTTTTTTTTTTGTTATATTTTGCGTAATATCAGTATGCATATATATATATATATATCCTGTCAGTATCTGTTGCATATAATATGAGTGCGCAAGGGTATTATATATGCATATACTTCTTTTCAACACATTAATCGATAAAGAAAAAACAACTGCTCTTCGATCTAATGTTGATTATTCGTCTTTCCTCTTTCTGCTCTAAGATTTATTATGTGCTGATTTGAACATTTAAATATGCAGTCATATAACAAAGAATAATGTCAATGTGAACACTTTTTACTATTTATATCGCCGTATGCACTTGTCTATTGTCTTTGTTCAATCCAACTCGAGTACCATTCTTTTCTTTTAAACATTATACTATACAATGCATGAGAATGAGTTAGTGTAATCTTAAATAGAATCTTTCGCTTCTTTTTTCTATGCAAAATTGAAAGTAACGATCAATCAATTGATTGTTTTTGATGATGATGGTTGGTAAATATAATTCACTAGAATGAGTATAACAATAATATTTTCTTTTTCTTTCTTTCTTTCTTTCTCTCATTCAATTTAGACATTCACACACAATCAGATTTAGCCGAAGTTGAAATAGTTAGCCTTGTACAAGAATTAATTCCACGATATCGTCTACGTGCCGACACTGACTTTGCTTGTTCCAACGAAGATTTCATTCAAACGCCACGTATTGACGGCTCTGAATTTGAACCGTTAACAAATACACAAATTCGTGCACTTTTAGATTATTACGGTAAGAAATAGAATAAAACGAAAGTGAAAGAGAAAAAGAATGAAAATTTTGCTATTTGCTTCCGCTTAATTCTTGGGCATATTGAAAAAAAAACCTCCCCTGCTTCTAGTTTTTTGGTTTTTGCTTCAAAAACATATCTATGGTAATTTGATATTTAGTTTAATGTGTGTCTATTGTTGCATGTTCTAGTCTTAGCTTTGAAATTGAAAAGTTCAAAGAAATGATAAATTTTTCATCGTTTAGTTTTATCCAAAGATCGAATAAGCCAAATGACAAAAACGTATCATGATATAAGTGCTGTAACTCGCATGCTGGAAGATCGCGAGAATGATTTACAAATGGCTGTTAGCGTAGGTTATACTTTACTTGAAAGTAACGATTCATTACGTAATCAAGTGACTACACTCGAGCAAGATATCGAACAAACAACCGAACTCGTTAAACAACTTAAACATGATTTACTTCTCAAAGAACGTCTTATTCGATTTTATTATGATATGGACCTAGATGCATCACCAACCGAACCGAAGTATGCAGAAAATTTGAATAATAAAATGAAGAAAAAAAATAATAACCTTCAATTTATTATTTAGGCAAATAGAATGCAAACATTATGAACAAAAAATTCGTAATCTCGAATATGAAAATCGGGATTTACGTGCGGAAGTAAGAGGCGAAATGTTAGAGTTGATTGGTTAAACGATTGGTTGTTTGTTCTCTTTTAAATAGAGTGTGCAATTAAAAATTGAAGCAGAAAATTTTGAACATCATGAACAAGCGATTGTTGATCATTTTGCGAATGCACTAGGTAGATTGATTTTATTCTATGAAAGAAAAAAAGAAACTATGCAAGATTTACATATTTAGCTCATGCTAATTCCGAAATTGAGAATTTACAAGAAGAAATTCAGAAAAAGAATGAAGAAAATCTCAAACAACAAGATACAGTCATGCGGTTATCTTGTGAAATGCGTGATGTTCATCGACGATTAAAAGAATTAAAAAAAGAAAATAATGAATTAAAAATTCTTTTATCACTAACCGGAAAAACGTGTCATGAATATGAAACTAAAGTAAATTTTTAAAATTCTGATTTGTGCGGTTCTAATTTTCTATAAGCTTATGGTTATTAGTTGTACAATTGACATTATGAATTTTCAGGTCGACACGGCTGTTTGTTCGACAGTTATCTATACGATATTGTATCCAATATAAATGTTAATAACTAAACAATAACCCTGAGCAAGTCACTGACGGCTGTTAGTGTTAGATCATTCGACTAGTAGCATGCTGATTCCATTATGACACACACCTGCTGTTATAGTAAATCTATATATATATATATATATATGTGTAGCACAAGAGCGCTAGACCAGGCTGGGCTTCAGGCTAGTGTGACAGTTGTTGTTAGTTGTAAAGAAAATATCGGTCTATTGAGTTTGCCGAGAGACAAGGATATTTGTTCAATCTAATATTTCAATTTTATTTACTTGCTAGAATAATCTTAGCTAATCGATCACTTGTTCATCAATTTAGATTGAAAATTTGGAGAGAAACTATAGTGAATGTTTATCGAAACTTCATAAATCTCAACAAGAAATCAATGCTATGCAAAAAACGTTTCTTCCAAGTTCTCCATCATCACCTATGTTAGATATGGATGCCAGTCATAATCATACGATATTTTTATCTCCAGTAGAATATGTAAATTATATGAGTCTTGAAAATTCTCTAAAATCAGAACTTGAAGAACTACGTGAAGATCCACATCAACTTTGCCATTCAGCAATCAACACACCGAAACGAAAGTCGCGTCATCGAGCTAAATGTGGTCCATGTGATACTGATGGAGAATCATCAATAAATGATTCTGCATTTAGTGATACTGAAAGTATTAGCAGGTAAAATATCTATGAAAAGCATGAATTATACTTTATTTACAGCTTTGTTTCGTGTAGTGCTTCGTCATCTCGTATACGTCCGCGATCTTCTCCTATTCATATAGATGAGCCAAAGTAAATATATATATAAATCTTATAAGTATTCAGATGTCTAATACATCATTTTAATTAGATCAATGTCATTAACAAGTGATCGGAGGTTAACAACAGGAATATCATCTCGATTAAGACTTGTTAAACGATTGGAAGGTGAGGAATGTTTTTTTTCGTATTAGCAAAAAAGCATCCTTTGTTTTAAAATTTTAAGGATCGAATATGTTAAAACGATGGCAAGAATTAGCTGAACCCAAGTTATCTTCTTGCCTACAATCGATACCCGGTGTGTATACACGTGCTGAAATCTTGCAGGAAAGTATTGCCGATCAAGATGATGAAGATTTACCAACACCACAAAATGAAGCAGAAGGTTAGCAAATCAACAAGTATTGATTTCTATTATTCTAACAGATAAATTCATCTATTTAGATCGATTATCAATGAGCCTGGAAAAACATTCACCCGAAACACCTATTCATTCTCAGTAAGAAATTTGTTTTCTTCTAATTTTATATATACATTATAAATAAGTTTTAGTTTAACACGTCGAATGAATCTTGTTGAGCTATTAACGAAACAGGGAATAACTGCACGTACGATCGATTCCTATTCTGAATTCGAAAAAGCTTTTTTAACATGTCCATTACCAAATCGTCTACCGAATTCCACGAATGAAGTTATTCCTGATCCAGATGAAACTGACAAATATGATGATGAACCAACAACTCCTCCATCTTCACCAACACAAGGTGCTCAAATACAAACCAGTACGCTTCTACATCAAGTCGTCGAACGTTTAGTTAAATTATCATTAACTACATTGAAAACAATTACAACATCTCTGACGTCATCGATTGATCAAGATCAAATAGAAAACAATGAAGACGAACTTCGATTACGTACAGTTCTCACAACAACGCCACCGTCGTCACCAACATTTGATGAACTTGTCGCACCAACACCCAATACAGCTCTACATGCGATAAAAACAAGTACATTTCTACGTGCTTCATCATTGAATCCGTTTACAAAAACATCGATGCAAAATGCGTTGACGACTTTATCACCGAGCGACAAACCATCGCTTGTTGATGATTTCATTCGAAGACGATTTCGATGATTTTTTTCTTTATTTAATCCTTTGTTTTTCATAGATCAATCAAACTTTGTGTGCTTATTAAAATTGTTCTCTATTTTATTTACGATTTGAGTTTATGCTTTTCTTGTAACGTTGATATTTAGAGTTCACCTGTGTATTTGTATAGTGTTTTCTTTGATTTAATTTTTTTTTCGACTAGTATTTTTTGCTTACGTACGTTGTTTTGTATAGAGGGAAACGAGATCCGTTAAAATAAAACCGACCAAGCGAATATTTTAAACTTTGAAAATATGTTTGAGAATTGTAATGGTAACTAACGCCATCTAAATAGATATTCTATTGATTGATCATTGAAATGCTTATAAGCATTACAGCTAACAAGCAATCATGGAAAAGAACAGAACACGAAAATATATATATTTATTAGATTCTTATTTATAAATGCATTGACACCAAAATGCAAGCGATGCATTTTCTTCAACAGACAAGTCGTCGTTTAGTTATTAATACATCTCGACCAACTTTTTCTGCCTTATCTTATTCAAAATCTAGTGAAGCACAAACCAAAACAGATGCAAATCGTGTTGAATCAAATTCAGTTCCTCCCAATGATCTTTTAGAAGCTAAAAGACTTGCACAAACAACACCAAACGACAAAACAATACATATTATTAAAAGTAGTGAAAAATTTTCTTCTGGTCTTTCACCAATTCAAGCAGCTTCATCAATAACTCCAACTGGCGCTGGTCTTTTTCAAGATGTTAAAGTATCAAATACACCTGTTTCCCCCGGTATACCAATAACAGTTAGTGTACCATCAACACCTGAAAAAGAAGATACAAGAAAAGAGGAACAAATTCCAGCATCGGGATTTTCTGCTTTTCTTCGAAGTATTCATTCAGGTTTACCATTTTTTCCTTCATCAAAAAAGAATTCAACACCAATTAACATTGCTACAACACGTGAATATTTTCTTCCGGTACGATACTGAGTGTTTGCAAAACTCATTTTTTAACTCATTTTCTTTGTCTTTCGATAGTTAACACGTCCTTCATTGATTCGTTTAATTGCAACTGATTCTCATTTTGGCGATGATCCAAATGAGCGTCATTTATTCCATGAACTGTGTCACGGTTTTGATAGTGCTGTTGTTCAACATTATTATCCAATATTAAGTGAATTAAAACATTTATTTAATCCATTAAATCCAGATAATGAAACACTTGATAATCGTCGTATATCATATCGTGATCGTTTAGATAATGAATATTGGTTATTACAAAAAATCAATGATTTACTTCGTCGAGCTAATTTTACTGAACTACCACGAAATATTCTTCTTGATAAATTTATTCAACAAAAAGATTCATCATCAAATGTGAATATTAAAATCGATGGTTATGATTATGATGTTTTAAAATTTTGGATACTTGGTCGTGAACAAATGTTAATAGGAGAAAAACCTTGGTGGAAAAAAGTCTTTCAAAAAAATAAACAAACCGTATCGAGAGATTATTTTAAACGTGTTATTTTAGCTGTACGTCTTAAAGGACAAGATCGTTTATATCTGAAAGCGTTTCGAGATATTCCATTGGAAAATTTAACACAATTATTACCGATGGGAAAACTACAAGTTGGCAATTTTGAAAAACAACTTCTCAGTTTAGCATTTCTTCTTGGTACAGGAACAGTTACTACACAATTGATAACAACAATGGCTAATTATCCAATGCCGGGATTAGTTGTTGGCGGAAGTAGTCTAACATTATTGCTTGGCACTTGGTCATTAAGAAATATGCATAAATCGAAAATAAATTATCTATCACAAATGAGTCGATTATTATTTTATAAAAATGTTGCATCAAATAAACAATTGTTAGCAATGATTATTGATCGTGCTGAAGATGAATTAAGTAAAGAAGTGTAAGTAAGGTTAATTATAATGAACAAGTTTCAAAAATAAATTTTCTTTTAGACTTCTTGTCTATATGTTTATACTCTCGAAACAAAAACAAAATGGAGCTTTAACAAAGAAAAATCTTGAACTTGAAATTGAAAATTGGATTCGTTCAAAAACAAATACAGATATTACATTCAATAGTGATCAATCGATTGAATTTCTTCGTAAATTAGGTAATATCATATTTATTTAAACACAATCATTCATTCATGTATTTTGTTTTTCCAAATCTATAGGTATTCTTTTACCTGATGATCCAACACGGCCCACTTGTTTACATGTCGTACCCTATAAACAAGTGGTTGGTATTCTTCCAAAAATATCACGGACATTAAGTGAAAAAAATGAAGAATGGGATTTAATTGAAGGTTATGACAAAAAATATTTTGAACTTGATTGGAAAACAGTTCTTAATGAAGATAAACTTCTAAACAAAAGTGGATGGCATTGAAATATATTCTAGTCTAATTTAAAAATAAAATTTAAGATAAAGACTAGATTAGTGTGCAATTCATTTCCTGACATCATTCTTTTTTACTTTAATTCTCTTCATTTGATTGACATGTGTAGGGCAGTGTCTCTGTGTGCGTGTATAGTAAATTGTTTTGAAACAGCTTCGTATGCTATTTTATTCACTAAGGCAAACACTTCTTTCTCTCTCTCTCTCTCTCTCTCTGAAGTTTCGTATTTTTAGATAATAAAATTGTGAAGTCCTCTGTAGATTCAAAATTTTATTTTATTTGACTTACATCTCAAGAGTACGGTTTCTCTTGAGGATGTGAGTGCAGGATTGGTGGATGGCAAAATAATGACACCTTGCAGACACGCTGACACCCACACCCAAGGAACATAGATCACGTAATGAGTAGACAGAAAAATTATGTATTTAAAATAGAATACGACATAAGATAGTAGTATAAACATCAAGATTTATCACTTGTATCATAGACTGTTTGGTTGAATATCGTTACATTTTCGCGTGCTACGTTGACTTCGTAACTCAATACTATAGATATTATTCTCTTGAAATAGCTTTGCTCCGGGAGATTTATTTCATATAACTGTCAATAAGAAAGAAAATCAACGTTCGCTCTCGCTTTGTAATTGTTTCGCTGAACAATCTTTTGTTCGGCGATCTGGTGTGGTTGAATTAAATTTAGAAAAGTCGACAGTGAAATGAGTAAGTGGATCGAAACGAATAATGGGATTGAATCTTGCTCCCCAAATGATTTCATTAGGCGTATAAGATGTTCGCGCTTGTGTTGTCAATCCTGTGGATTCAATGATTCCTTCAAAGACAACTAAGATTTCAAATTCACCCTTTTCTAATTTTCTTTTATCCATAAGCCATAGAGGACTCTTGGAGTCGATGCGATGCTCGATGATCAAAGGCCAGATGAGAAGGAGTCGATCCCGACCAACATCAAATCCAACATCCATATCCACTAGGTGTAGTGGAATCATTTCTTCGTCTTGTTCTTCTTCTTCTTTAGTGATATGTTTAGAAATGAAATACATTCGAACGTGAGCTTCAAGTAAAGTCGATCGTTGTCTCATATCAGCAATGCGAACTTGAAGTATCAAATTATTTTTACGGAATGCAATGACAGCTTGACGAGACCACATCAAAGTACGACGACGTTTTTTTGGACGAGCCAATTTAGTATAAACAATGCCAACCCACAATGCTTGAAGAATAAGACCAACACATGATTGGATCATTAGAAGAGCAACACCACTCGCACATTGTTGTGTTACTGATCGCGTCCCATATCCGATTGTTTGTTGAGTTTCAATCGAAAAAAGAATGACACCCGCAAATGTGGTCACTCCAGCTACACACGGAGTTCGAGTAGCACTCGTTGGATCATCTGAAAAGTCTCCATGAATTTTCATGATTAGCAGCCAAATACCTGCAAATATGAGCCACGAAAGAACAAATGACAATACCAGAAAACTTAAAATCCAGCTCCATCCTAGATCCAGCAATGTCGTAAAGAAATCTCCAAAATATCGACGACAACGTTTCTCAATATTCAATCTCAACAAATAAAATAGATAGAAGTATGCATCCAAAAACAGACTGACCTACCTAATCAAATCAATATCACCTTCTTTCGTAAAAATGCGCCTGCGATTATAGTTAACTCCTAAAAAAAATTACGAAAAACAAATCATAAACAATTTGTATTTCTTGCTACTTGGCTGTACGGCCCAATGTGTTCTGGAAAAGGAGATAAAATCGATTACAATCATACTGAAATAACAAAAGGCTTACGGATTGACAAATGAAGTCGGTTGACTCGTTGACAATTCGAATCTATTGATGTCGAACGATGCATCAATTAAATATTCACTAATATGTTTTATCTTACGCAGTAGTTACTTCTCTTGTAGCACGTGCTCCCCTGTCCGTCATTTCGTTTTTGATCAATGCCTTTTTCATCTTTACCTGTACTATACACAAATAACATTTACGATTATTCTCTTCTTTTAAGATATTGTTGCTTCTCTTATCAGTAAAACAAAATTTTCGTAGTTGTTGTCGAAAAAAAGCAAAAGAAACACTACACAAGATATCAGCTGCAAAGCATGAGTGAGTGTGGAGGTGGACATCGTATACGTAGTACAGTGAATCTTGGCTTTACTTGTACCCTTTTTATTTATTGTCCTATCTACTTGTCGTATTAGGTACTATATCCATCAAAAAGTATCATTTTGAGATAGACAGAAATTTTCCTGAAATTTCAAGAGGTACTACTGTAGAAAATACAAACGTGATGTCGGAGTTTGTTAATCAAACTTAAGAGGCATAGAATCCAAAACCTTTTCCATTTCATATCGTTATATTGTTATAATAATGTTTTAACGTTTCATAGAGCTTGTATTTACATGGGATTCTAGATCTTGGAAACACATAACCAATTTTACTATTTAAAAATAGGAATTTCTAGACAGGAAAAAAAGTGCTCCTCTTAGCGACTAGAATAATATAGTAAGCTTTCTAACACACTTTTCTATACATCCACATAACTATTTCAAGCAATAACAGAAGCACTGTGAAAGCACTTGTAATCTGCGGTCTTCCTGTCAACTCCATATTATCAAGGGGGAAAGTGCTGGATAGGTGCTGAACAGGTGCTGAAGTGCTGAACAGGTGATGAAGTGCTGAATATGTGCTGAGATGTTGAACAGGTGCCGAGATGCCAATTGATTTTTTTAGGATACCACATAGACTAAATCACTACATTGTGATTGATTAAGAGCGCTCTCTATCAGATTCATTGTGTTACTTCAATACTAGCGAATTATTTAAGTATCTAATCAGAAATTTACTCATTTTACAAAACTGTCTAATTGTAATTCAATTTTTCTTACTTAGAAGAAACTCATTTTTGTGCTGTTTTTCAGATATAAAAAAAAAGAGAAGAAGTTCCGTTCAATATTTTTCAGTTACTTTACGAATTCTTATTTGTTCCATGGGATAAAATGCGTTTTTCATATTGTTTAAAGGTGGTATGCTGTCAGTAATATAGCAGTATACTAGCAGAAGTACCCAGCGTTGCCTGGAAAAGTTCACATTTAATATATGCAAACAAAACCCCATTGTACTTGAGAAGATCTAAAACGCCTAATTTGTAGGAAGAGATATATACAACTACTATTTTTGCCCCGTGCCGATTTTGATTCCGAGCCTCGGACATATCCTAAGTCTCGATCTCACCTAATCGCGTTCGCAATGAATATAGAGTAATGACATTGAAAGACGACTTCGATGTACGAAATTCTTCGTCGTTATACATGTAGATCAAGAAGACCTTAGTGGCACATATAAATTTTATGAACTTTCTATATTTCCAAGTACATCTCGGAGCACATACTTATGTCAATCGGTTCCGATCACGACCGGCTCCCGTCTCATTTGGTCACGGTTCGGTCCCGATTCCGTAGCTGTTTGATTCTATATTTAGAGGGAACCAATTTGAGAATTCAATTTTCTTACACCCATGCAAGAAAAACTCGCTTCTATCAAAACTCAACACAACCGCACATCTACTTGCTCTAGAACTGCAGGTTTAGAATATCTATTGATTTCCAGAGTTATGACAGTATATCGT